AAGATAGTATCTGTCCAACACTAATAGTGAAGAACAATAAGAAGAAGGTGACTTGAATTCAACAGCCCGAACAATTAATGGCAGTGAATGCCTCGTTGCTTCCCTCTCCGGGGGAACTTCAGAAAATACGTTACAAAAATAAATGCTGGCCATTTAATATGCATTGACGCTGCTGCTTCCAGTGCCGCTGCCATTGTTGTTGTCGCTTTCGTTGAGTTGGTCAAGTGTTTTGACTTCTTCGCCCTGTTTTTGAGCCGCGTTTCGAGCGCTGTTTTGCTTTATGCTCGCTGAGTAACGTGTGAATGAAGACGGAGGAGGGCGGCCGGCAACTAGTGCAAGTGCCTGGACGCAATTTTGATTTGCCCCTCGGCCTTGGTATGCAAAGAGGGTAGGAATGGCCACAGGTGAGTGCGTCGGCAGCACGGGAGCCGGCAGTCGGCAGGGGGTCTGGGTCCGGGTCCTAATTGCTGGGCACGCCGGTTGTCGCTGTCGGCAATCGGAGTGCTATTGTGCGGGTGGACTCGTTCCTTGCAGATGCGCTTCAGCTGCACTCTTTTCGCTGTTTATCTAACGGCTGACAAGAGCAGCAACAATCCCACCAAATACAATCAAAATATTTATCGCCGGAATTTATTCAAGCGTAAGAGAGCACTCGAAACGGTGCACTCTGCCCTCCTTTTGTTGTCGTTGTCGTTGACGTTGCCGTTGTCGTTGTTGTTGTTGTTGTCTGCAAAGGTGTGATAGGACAATATACCCGCAGCGCCTGTGACATACTCGTACTATACAGTCGGATCCAAAATACATAGCAATGGGCGAAAAGCTGCAATGTGACGAGCCAAACGCGCCCGGTCCAAAATGCAAATGCAGGCTGGTAGGGTTGCAGGATGCTAGCCAAAGGGTTGCTCGGGCTGCTACAAAAGGAGGCACGACAAAATATTTTCGACAATTTCGAGTGTCTTTTTGTGGCAAACAGCAGCAATGGCATTTCACAAGCAAAGCGACAGAGAGCGAGCGATTTGAGCGGCGCCTTCAAGATTTATGAAGCAAAAATGCTAATCAGAGGAAATGTCCCTTGAAGAAGTCAAAATTAAGTTGTAATCTTTGTAATTTCGCCACTATGCCGACACTATCGAAGTAGAAGTAGAAGAAGGGGTAGGGGTGCGCGTTGAAGGGTCGCATTGGTTGCATTGGCCTGTCCTTGGGCGCGCTGGGCATGCGCAGTCTCACACCTTTTGGCAGTCAGAAACAAAGCGACACATTTGTTTGTAAATACTGCGTATGTTATTATTAATGATTCGAAATTTGAATAGTTCTTATGCAGCTCTCCTTTTCGACCATCACCAAGTGTCATTTGCCATTTGCATATGCCCCTCATTTTTCATTGCGCGTTGATAAATATTTTTTGGCAAGTATTCAAATTTCCATGCAACGTAGATTAATGAGTTTCAAATTAACAGAAATTTGCATATGACCCACAAAAGTGCGCGCCATATGCGCCGGCTCGTATTTTCGTTATTATTTAGAATGCAACTTCGATTCGAATGCGGGATAGGATCCGTTAATAAAATACAAAAACTTCAGAACGACAGCTGGTGCTGTGCTCTAGAGACCGCCAACCCCACCCCCGCATGCTGTACACTCGCATTAGGGTTGTGCTGGTTCCGCTCTAATACAAGTATGTGTATACAAGGATGCATACATAGTTCAAAGAATTTTGCATATGAGTTTCGTGAACTTTTCGCTTTACTTAGTTTGCTTCGACAAGGAATACATTTATATTCTTAAGTATCCAATCGCAACATTTACGATTCCGCAAGTAATAATTATTTTTATTGTATAACACAGTTTAACCAATAAATAACTTTAGTGCTCTATTAGAGAAACATACTTGTAAGTAGCACCTGTTGCGCCTAATTATGTGGCTACAATATTTGTGAACTAAGAATATTATCGCGAAAATATTCAATATCGCAAGGTGTGCTGTTTTCATCAAGTTCGAATATGGAATCCGAATCGTCAGATATACTTTTAGAGACAAATCGAAGGGGCCATAAGTTCCATACAAACTGGTTCACCAAAGGGAACTAGACTGCACACCTTCGCTGCTCATTATTTACGTACAGCCGTGCAACGCCCTGGAATGCAGAGAAATAAACTAAAACGCCAGCAGCATACGTGTCCTCATATGGCACCGGGTTGCCGTTGATATGCTAATTTGTCTGGCCAAATAGCCGTCCACGCAACAAGGACATGGACAGCACCGCACGCGATAAAGTTTGCGGCTGCGGCTATCAGCCGCCGACGATCGAGATCGCAGTGACTAATATGAGGACGAGGCGAGAGCCATTTCGCGCAGCTGTAAATTGTAAATTAAAATGCGTTTTACGCAACTGTTAATGGCGCATGCGCCGCGTCTATTCCGGAGCCGAAGCCAAAGCGGAATCTGCCGCAGCTGTTGCCGCATTTTTCTAAAGGCACGCAGTTGCCACTTGAAAAGGACACCCCCACATAAGGCACGAGACACGACAGACAGTTTTCATTGGCAGCAGACATCGCCGATGAGTTTCGGGGAAAACTACACATTTTCATGGTCGACTACCGTTCTCCGACCCATCCAAAAATAGATTAGCTAAATAAAAGGATATTGAACTCGGGCTGCGCGAGGAAAATGCACAGAGGCGGATAATGGGACGGCCAAAGGTCACTTAGAGGCCTGCGAAGCAATTGTTGAAAGGCACATGGCCTTAGGCCAGACAATCCACAATATGTTCATTCAATTGATCAAATTATATTAACATGATTCTCAATGCACACATACACGTATACGATGTGGACTTTACAATTACAGTTAAAGAGTCAGTGCAGCAAAGATTTATGTTCAAATATAAAGTAGTGGGATTTGTTTAAATCACATCGAAGGGCTAATGAAAACCTTCTAAAAAAAAAACAAAATATTGTCATGAGTTGTAAAGAGGAATAAAATATAAAATATCACATAATAAATTCAAACAAATAAATAAAATAAAAACAAGATAGAACTTTAAAGTCGAGCAAGCCTGACACGAAATAGCACACAACAAAAATAAAATTAAAAAAAAAATTTTTTAATTAATTTAAAAAGAATTTAATGAAATTTTAAAAAATGTGTTCAATGCATACATACGTAAGTGGAGAACATGAATACCAGGTTTGGTTATTCTAGCTCTTGTACTTTCATACAGACAGACAGACGGACGGACAGACGGACGGACAGACGGACATTGCTGTATCGATTCGTCTTGACATTCTGATCAAAAATATACATATTCAAGAATACTTTGTGGGGTCTGCCACGCGTTCAAAGTCGGGACTTTAGCTTCTCTACTTGTTTTATTATTATTTATTTTTATTTTATTTATTTTTTTTTGAGGAGGACACTTGCAATATCTGTTTTTCATAAAATTTTATTAAATTTATATTAAATGTTGCCCATTAATTCTGTCTATCAAAGGGAAAAAGGTAGTTCGGTCATTTTATGTTTTCGTATAAAAGGAGACATACATGGGTGCCAAAGAAATCTCCGGAGGTTTCGGCAACAGTTGTGTTTGAAATCTCAAAAAATTCGTCGGTGCCGCTGAACTTCAAAAGATTTCATTTTTTCGAACTTCCCCTCCAAACCAGCCGTCAGAAACAACTGACTTTCGACACTCACATTTGACTGACTAATTGTGCTTAAATTCATTGCATTTGCATTAATATTCGCCTGCTAGGATTTGCGGAAACGCCAATTAATTGCTGAAAAAATACAACGCAAATGTTACGGGGTGTACTTCCATAAATTGGACGAAAATTGCGTCCACATGGCGATCTATGTTTTGCAAAAACTAGCAATTGAAATTGTATTCAGAAATTACAAAAATGTACATACATTTTGTTTCCCTGGTCCGTATTGTAAATTTAAATGACCATTCACATTTTCACAATCGGCGACACACAATTATCCCCAGGTTTGTTTAATTAATACACAGTTATTTGGTACTTATTTGAAAGAAGAGCTGCGTCAAATATATATTTTATCTATGGCTTTCTGACTCTTCTAATTCTAATGGATCTCAGAATTAACAAATCTATTTTTATAAGATTCATTAAAAACGCAAAAATGCATACATACATATGTGAGATCAGAATTCAAAATGTGAAAGTGCTTTAATACCAATAAAAAGTTTAGAGGTAATTAATGTTGTACTATACATGTACATATCATATGATACTGAAAAAAACTTAAATGCAGGGACCGCAAATAATGATTAATTAATTAAATTAATTTAAAATGCTCGCCTTGGCTCACTGATTAAGAATATATATAAATTTTGTCCTTAACCCTTATGAAACAGACAAAATTTCAGCTTGAGTTTCATTTTTAATCAAAAAAATAAATGAGCGAATTAATAAAATTAAAAAATAATCATTATTTTGTATTTTTTTCAATAACACTTATAATGATTACAGTCCCTGCTTAAATGTATGAATTTTGTTGTCATACTCATATTTATACTGAAAGTGTAATAGTCTTTGTATTGATACTTGTAATCTTTAAAATTTATATTGACAAACAATTTGAAAAGTACGGATGTTGTTGACATATTGGACATATCACTTGGGGATAATAAAAAATAGATACATAGTTCATGCAAATGTAAATCTGTCTTTCGGCAAACATAATTTATTTGATCCAAATGTTAGCAGGGATTACCTAGTTCAAGCTTAACTGACTTTTTTTTGTATGCTGAAAAGTTCACAGAATTAAATTTGTAAGTCACCACTGGGGGAAAAAATCAACTATTCAAAATAAGTTGGCAGGGCTAAGCACTTCAAGTACATTCAATTTTCGTTGATGTGGTAGCTACTAGTCATTTTTTCAAATGTTACCATACAACGATAGAATTATAACCGATTATTTGTGCAATCGATAACAGTTGCAGTCGTACGTCTTTCGATATCGATATTGTCTAAAAGTGTCGCGAAATAACAAGAGGAAAAAGAGTGTGCATTCAAAGAAAATTTGAAGAAACAGACGAACGTCGTAAACTACTTTATTTAGGATTTAGGTATAAACAAAAGCCATGTCCATGTCCTCCAGCCAGCAACTACTCGCAGAGTCATCGTCCTGCAGTTCTACTACCACCGTGACGGATGCACCGCTGGCCAAAAAACGCAGGCTCGAAGCCGCTGACAATGCTAACAGCAGCGCCGACGTCGCCGTCGCCCATTCAAAGGCCGGTGGAGCATCAGCAGGAGCAACAACGATGGTGGTGGCATCAAGCAGTAGCGGCAGCAACAACAACTACGAAAATCACGACAAAGTAGCAGGCGACGTTGACATTTCGAATAAGACAGAGACAGCTGTTGCTGGTAATGAAACAGACTTGTGTGTATCGTCGTCTACTTCCGACATATTCGCAAGCAATAAGTCAAAGCGAGCCGCAACTACCGGCAGCGGCGACGACGTTAGTACATCGTCAGCAGTGCATAAAGAAAGTAGCGTTTTTGAGTCGTCGTCGTCGTCCTCTGCTAATTTGCAACAAACCAATTCAAATTCAACAACAGCGAGCAGGGCTAATCGCGAAGTAAGCTCCACAAACAACGTCACCTCAACAAACAACACATCGGCGCACAACAACAGTAGTAGTAGCAGCAGAAACAACAACAGCGCAGGTATGGCTGCCAACAATGCCACCGCCGCCGCTGGTGGAGACATCGATGAGTCGCTCTATTCGCGCCAACTTTATGTGTTAGGCCACGATGCCATGCGTCGTATGGCTAACTCGGACATACTGCTTTCAGGACTAGGCGGTCTGGGCCTGGAGATAGCGAAGAATGTCATTTTGGGCGGAGTGAAATCGATCACCCTGCATGACACAGCAACTTGTACGGTAAGTAGTTTTTTCAACGGTGTTGGGGGGTAGCAAAAAAAAATCGATAATTGACATTACGACGCCGTTGACGCGCGCGCGAAGAAAAAGAGAGAGCAACGCAGCTTTTACTGCAAATCTTCCAAGCTATAATATACATAAATAGAAGGTTCCAATTATTAGCAGCTGGCTAAATGATTCATCAGATAACCCAGTGGACTGTTGAGTTTCACAAAATAGGGGCTGAAGTGGCGCCAGAAACAACATCAGTATTTAGGTTAGGTTATTAAATTTGTGTGTTTTAATATAATTGACAAGAGTATGGCAACAACAACAAAAAGCAGCAGCAGAAAATATTTTTTTCATTTTTCTGTTCGCGCGTCAAGATGTCTGCTTTTTTCTTAACCGTCGTCGGTGAGAGCGAGACGACCATATACGTTTTCATAGGCTGCAAACGTTTTTCGCATTTCGTTTTGAATACACATTCGCTTTTGTTTTACTTGGCTAACCAGCTACAAATGACAAGATCGTAATGTTCTTACATATGAATATATTATAAAGTTAAGATAATCCATGCCCCTGAAAGCTCCATTCATTATTTCATTTCCCACCTAATGATTCCTGCTAACACCTTTTACACATAACCGCATACATACAGGGTGCGCCATCTTTTATGTCGGTATGCAAACATTGAATATCCTTGAAAATAAACAACCGATTTTCAAGTATGAGATATTTTTATTTAATTTGGTTCTGTACAATTTCTTGAACTGAGGGGTTCAACACTGGTCTACTCAAGTCAATCGGTTCACTAATGACAAAGTTATTCAATATTTACATACCAACATAAAAGATGGCGCACCCTGTATGTATGTAGTATTAGTCACTCAACGGATTTCACAAGAATACACAATTGCATGCTAATCTTCTGTGTTTTACTTACAGCTCAACGACTTGTCATCACAATTCTATCTGACCCAGGCGGACATTGGTAAGAATCGGGCGACGGCCTCGTGCGGTCAATTAGCTGAACTAAACAGCTATGTGCGCACTATCGCCCACACCGGACCGCTGTCCGAGGACTTTCTGCGGCAATTCCGAGTGATTGTATTGACCAACTCTGATGCTGAGGAGCAACAACGCATTGGCAAGTTCGCACATGAGAACGGCATTGCGTTCATCATCGCAGAGACACGCGGTCTGTTTGCCAAAGTATTTTGTGACTTTGGCGAGCAGTTTACTATTTACGACCAAGACGGTGCACAGCCCATTTCTACCATGATAGCGAGCATTACACATGACGCGCAGGGCGTAGTTACTTGCTTGGATGAGACGCGTCATGGTTTTAATGATGGAGATTACGTTACATTTTCCGAGGTGCAGGGTATGCATGAATTGAACGGCTGCCAGCCTATCAAAATCACCGTACTAGGACCGTACACGTTTAGCATTGGCGACACCAGCAAGTTGAGTGCCTATAAGACTGGAGGTGTTGCCACGCAGGTGAAGATGCCGAAAACTATTAGCTTCAAATCTCTAGCACAGGCGGAGCAAGAGCCGGAGTTCCTTATTTCGGATTTTGCTAAGGTGGATGCGCCCGCCTCACTACATGTTGCGTTTAAGGCCTTGTCCACATACCAAAAGATAAACAACGGCTCCGTGCCACGCCCCTGGAACAATGAAGATGCTGAGCAATTCCTAAATCTGTGCAAGAGCCTCAAGGCTGATGTCGACGAACAATTAGTGCTACAGTTTGCCAAAATATGCGCAGGTAACACGTGCCCGCTGGACGCTGCAATTGGCGGTATTGTAGCCCAGGAAGTGCTCAAGGCGTGCAGCGGCAAGTTCACTCCAATATTTCAGTGGTTTTACTATGATGCGGTCGAATGTCTGCCGGAGGGTGGCGTTAGCGAGGCTGATGCGCAACCCCTTGGTACAAGATACGATGCACAGATTGCCATCTTTGGGCGAAGTTTTCAGGAAAAGTTGGCCGATGCAAAATGGTTCATTGTTGGAGCTGGAGCCATTGGCTGCGAGCTGTTAAAAAACTTTGGCATGCTTGGCTTAGGCGTGCGCAACGGACAGATTTTTGTCACCGATATGGATCTCATAGAGAAATCAAATCTGAATCGTCAGTTTCTGTTCCGTCCGCATGATGTGCAGAAACCTAAAGCGCTGACCGCTGCAACGGCCATCAAGCGCATGAATCCCGATGTGAAGGTAACCGCCTATGAGTTGCGTGTTGGCGCCGAAACGGAGAAGGTCTTCTCGGAAAATTTCTTCGAAAAGTTGCATGGCGTGGCCAATGCGCTGGATAATGTTGATGCTCGAATTTACATGGATCGGAAATGCATCTTCAATCGCATACCGCTGGTCGAGACAGGCACGCTTGGTACCATGGGTAATGTGCAGGTCATTGTACCTTTCGCCACTGAATCGTACAGCTCATCACAGGATCCTCCTGAGAAGAGTATACCCATATGCACCCTTAAGAATTTTCCCAATGCCATTGAGCACACTCTGCAATGGGCACGTGACTCCTTCGAAGGCGTATTCAAGCAGGCGGCTGAGAATGCAGCTCAATACATTTCAGATCCGCAGTTTACCGAGCGCATCCTGAAGCTGCCTGGCATTCAGCCGCTGGAAATACTAGAGTCAATCAAGGTGGGCGTAAATGAGATTAGTTGTAATTGAATGTTACATGAATGTTACTACTTTGTACTTTACAGAAAGCACTTATCGACGACAAGCCCAAGAGCTTCGCGGATTGTGTTGAATGGGCGCGTCTATATTGGGAGGATCAGTATGCCAATCAAATCAAGCAGCTACTTTTCAACTTCCCACCCGACCAGATTACTTCAAGTGGTCAGCCATTTTGGTCGGGCCCTAAACGCTGCCCTGATCCGCTCGTGTTCGATGTGAATGATCCCATGCACTTGGACTATATCTATGCAGCAGCCAATTTGCGCGCTGAAGTTTATGGAATTCCTCAAGTGCGCAACCGTCAAGCTGTGGCTGAGCTGGTGTTGCAGGTCAAGGTGAGTTGTGCAACGAATATATATAAATATTCATATTTAATAACGGCGGAATGTTTAGGTACCCGAATTCAAACCACGCTCTGGTGTGAAAATTGAAACCAATGAGGCAGCGGCTGCTGCCGCAGCCAACAACTTTGATGATGGCGAAGTGGATCAGGATCGCGTTGAAAAAATCATAACTGAATTATTAAAAACCGCAGATAAGAAGTCGAAAATTACGCCGCTCGAATTTGAAAAGGACGATGATAACAATTTGCACATGGATTTTATTGTGGCATCGTCAAATCTACGCGCCACCAACTACAAAATCCCACCGGCCGATCGCCACAAGTCCAAGCTGATTGCGGGCAAGATTATACCCGCGATTGCAACCACTACGTCGGTACTGTCGGGTTTGGCAGTGTTGGAGGTTATAAAGCTGATTTCCGGACATCGCGACTTAATTAAGTTCAAGAACGCGTTCGTTAACCTGGCTTTGCCATTCACAGCATTTTCTGAGCCATTGCCAGCGGCCAAAAATAAGTACTACGACAAAGAGTGGACCCTATGGGATCGCTTCGAAGTCACCGGCGAACTTTCGTTGCAGGAGTTCCTCTCTTATTTCGATGAAAAGGAGAAGCTCAAGATAACCATGTTGTCGCAGGGCGTATCAATGCTGTACTCATTTTTCATGCCCAAGGCCAAATGCTCGGAGCGTATGCCGTTGCCCATGTCTGAGGTGGTCCGACGCGTTTCTAAACGGCGCATTGAGCCCCATGAACGCTCCCTGGTGTTCGAGATTTGCTGCAACGATACAGATGGAGAGGATGTGGAAGTGCCCTATGTGCGCTACACGCTGCCGTAAGCAAAGTGAAATCAAGCTAGGCCATGTCCCGTTTTATATTTAATTAACAGTTAAATTATTTTTATACCCTTTTGTCGTCGCGTGACACGGTTATAGTTCAAGTGAGTTTTTTTGCGCCTAAATTAATCGTGTAACTGCATTTTTAATTCACACACAACACAACCTAAAAATGATCTTAAAATATATGATATATACACATATATGTCTCCTATAAGGAAAAGGCAACATAAAAACTGCGTAATACGAAAAACAAGACTCGACCTGCAAAAAAAATTATATTAATTCTGTCTGCTCAGCATAGTTTATAAAAAAATAAAATGTGTACGAAAATGAGAAGAGATTTTGAATTGAAATGCGAACGCAAGCTGCATAAAATAATTGTTTCTTTTTTTTATATGAACATAAAATTAATTACATACTTGTATTAAAAAGCAAAGCAAATTGAATAAAGCTGTATATTTCATATAGTGTGTGGAGCCCGCATTATTTAATATGCACCTCTATAAGGATTGTGCATAAGATAATGTGAGTAATTGTATTTTTTGTACGTACTTTGCATACGCATTTCCCAATGGAATATAAACGCTTGCGTTGCATCTTTGGTAGTCGCCCAGTCACCAGTGCATCCTTCTATCCAATTTGTTGCAGCCAGCTAGCAAAAAGTTACGTGACACAATTAAATATTTTATACCCCAAGACGGTTATTCGCAGCCACCAAAGTGCAATTCGCAAACGCCATAAAGTTGAGTGGGATGGGCGTCGAATCGGGTGAGTCGTATAATTAAATATTACACGCAATGGAACTGAAGTATTTCCAAACTTGTGCCGCAGCATCCTGTGGGTGGGAAGAAGCAAACAGTGACTTTGACTGACTGTGTCTACATTGAAGTATATACATTACCTCGTAAAGCATCCATGTAGTGGCGAAAATTTGTCAGTATATTACACTAATATTCCAGATAATTTTGAGCTTTTGTATGCTGTCGATATGAAAATCGAAAGGTATTGAAACACATTTCCATAATTTGTATTCAGATTTCAAACAAGTTGATCATAACGGAATAAATAGCGTGTAAATGACTTAAAATTACGGACGTATTTAGATCGATGTGGAGGCAACACGATTTTTTATTTTTACCCCACGCTACAGAACTTTGTCAATAATCTCCAGAATTTCCAATCGGTTAATTGTAGGAAATGTGATTAGCAAAAAAATTTTAAGCCACCAAACTGCAGCAACGGGCTTGCGCTTCTTATTATGAACTCTGAACTTAAAGGGTAAAAAGTTTTGTGCGAATGTATTTAACTTGCAAAAGGGGCGTGGCAGTCCGCACAAAGTGTAAATATTTTTGATTAGGATGACAAGACGAGCCATGTCCGTCTCTATGAACGAAACGATCTCAAAAGGTACAAGAGCTAGAATTACGCCATTTGTATAATCACCTCTATCTCGCAGACTATAAGACCTAGGGACACGAAATTTTAGTCCAAGATGCCCTATATGAATACGCAGGGCAGACCCAAAAAGTATATACATATATTCTTTTTACTATTTATTTATTTCCATAGCAATAAAAGATAGAAGAAAACAAATTAAAATACTTAAATAATAAAATATAATTAAAATTTAAAGGTGAAGAATCACTGACTCGTTGGGGGGAAATTTATTAGCCAGTCCGGCAAGCTGTGCCCCTACTTACAGCAGTGGTGATCAGAGATTCTGTCGGAGGTAGCTGAAAATAGAAGATTTTAGTGAGGGGATAGAGAGCTCACTTGAGATTAAAAAGTGAAAAGTATTATAATTGGCGCATAATACTCGAAAAGGATTGTGCATGGCGTTATCACTAGTGCTGTTAAGTTGAAGAGGCAGAAAGTTCCTTGTTGGCCTAGGAGGAACCGAAAAATTGATACGACATAAAAGCATAGAGAAATCAACATTTCCGGCAATCAATTTGTGGAGGAACAGAACTCCAAGAACTATTCTACGGTGAGCTAAAGAAGGGAGGTTAATAAGGAGAAGTCTACTGGAGCACAAAACCAGTTTAGACCACGAAGAGCAAAAAGAAGAAATTGTTTCTGAACCGACTCAATGCGATCCTGATACAATTTATACTGAGGACACCAAACACATGAGCAGTATTCTAGCACTGGAGAACTAGAGCACTAGAGAACTGTACAGTAACTTGGTGGTGTAGAGGTCGTTAAATTCTCTGGACCAACGTTTAATAAAACCAAGAACACCCTTAGCTTTGTTAACGATAGTGGAGATGTGAAGATTGAAATTCAATTTGTGATCAAAAAGAACTCCAAGATCTTCAACTGTAAATATACGTTGCAATGGTATATTGTCAATCGCATAAGTACCTAGATATGGACCGGACCGGTAAAAAGTCATAAACATTAGTATAGGGGAGTGCAGCAGGATAGACGGAAGGTCATTAATAAATAGAGTGAATAATAGGGGGCCAAGACGACTACCTTGAGGTACACCAGAAGTTACGAGAACAGGTTTAGAAGTATTCGACCTGAGTAGTACCTTCTGTGTCCTATTTTTTAGGTACGAGGAAATCCATTTCAAAAAGTTTGAGGGAAATCCCATATACTTGTAAGTTAGCTTCAAGAGGAGCAGGTCGTGATTCACAGAATCAAATGGTTTGCTGAAGTCAGTATATATAATATCAGCTTGCATCTTTGCTAGGAATGCATAATTTATCAAAGATGTAAATTCAAGCAGATTAGTCGTTGTTGACCGATTTTTAAAAAATCCATGCTGAGCAGAGGAGATTACAGACTTACAATGATGCTGTAAAGACGACGTAATTATTTTTTCAAATAATTTGGGAATGGCAAAAAGTTTTTGTGAAGTGGTATAATGAACGATTTTTTCCAAGAAGCAGGAAAGATTCCGCTCTCAAGGGACAGATTAAAAAGCTTAAGCAACGGTTTTCAGAGGGAAGTACCATACTCTTTGAGCACACAACTAGGAATGTTGTCAGGCCGAGGAGAGAATGAAGCTTTTACAGATTGTATATTGGATAAAATACAAGAATCTGTAATTATTGGAGCAAATATAGAATTTGAGTGCATAATGCGGAAGGGGTAAGAATTACCGTTGAAAGACTCAGAGGAGTACGTCGACTGGAAAAAATTTGCAAATAATTTGTTGTTGCAAGGAAAAATGACGATGGCAATGTCCAAGATTTTCGCTTAGAATTTACGAAGTTATAGAACTTTTTAGGGTCATGTTTAAATTGGAGCTTGCCACGCTCAAGATAATTTGTGTAACACAAGGAGTTACAATATTTAGAGAAGTCAACTTGATCAGCATGACAAGACGAGTCGATCTATGTCTGTCCGTTTCTAGAAATTTTTCATTGAAATTAGGAAAATACCTCCAGTCCATTACGAGTCCGTATGCCAAGTTTCACAATGATAGACCGATTTAACAAGAAGTTATATTCATATATATAATCTCAGGCCAAGCAGTGACCGCAGCTGTTGTTGTTAGTGCTTTGCACAGGCACACGAGACATACACAGACACACATATACACGCATAATTATTCTACACATATGTACAGAGTATTTTAAAGTCGGGACACCCAACTTTAGCTTCTCTACTGTTTTTTATACCCTGTACCCAAAGGGTGAAAGGGTATACTAGTTTTGTGCGAATGTATGTAACGAGCAGAAAGAGGCGTGGCAGACCCCACAAAGTATATATATTTTTGATCAGGATGACAAGACGAGACGATATAGCCATGTCCGTCTGTCTGTCTGACCGTCTGTCTGTATGAGCGCAAGGATCTCAGTAAGTACAAGAGCTAGGATAACCAAAATTGGTATCAAGGTTCCTATAAGCCCGACTTAAAGAATTGGCTGACAAAACACTTGTAATGCCTTCGATTATTTCCATTTTGGTAGAATACTGTCTGCCAGATTTGTAAACTTTGTAACCAGCCATTCCCACACGTTTTCTAATATATTGATGTCCGGTGAGTAAGGGGGCCGCTTCAATAAATCGACATTTTATGCTTCAATCCATGACTCGATCTCCCGGGCTGTATGAATCCAGGGAAATTAACAAGCACATTTTTGAAATGGGGAAAAACAGTTTTCAGCACGTTCTTATAATTCATATTTGTGTTCAAAAATTGAAACTCGCACGAACCATAATAAGAGATAGCTCCCCACAGCATTTCGATACACCGCCCACACGACTATGAAGTCGATCCAACTGATGCTCCTCCTTCCAAAGATCATGGAAATAATAGTTTTATCTATTTGGTCATTCCAAATTACATTTCTTTTCATCCGAAAAGAAAACGTAGCGTTAATCAAAATTTAATCAGAATTTGATTTAATCGTATTTCCTATCGAGCATCCTTTTCTTTGTTTTCAATCTTTTTAAATGTGGAGCATTCCTTATCACCCTTTGAATAGTTGATAAGCTTGCTTCAACACCAACATTTGTCCGGATCTTTGAGTTCATGATTCATGAGAGTTGGATGCTTCTCTTAAAATTGCTCTTTTATTAGCATCGGAAACCACTTAATTATTACCACATTTATTTGTATACCATATCCCGACTCTGTACATGAAATACTAGGTTTGCGAGCGATGAAAAATGTAATAGGCAGAAGAAGGCGTGACAGATCCCACAAAGTATATATATGCTGGATCATCATGACAAGATTTATGTCTGTCTGTCCATATGAACACCTGAATCTCAGAGACTACAGAGTATTTCTTGTATGTTGCGTATTTTTTATACAAAGATTGGAGCCTGTTTCACCTCTTTTCCAAAACCGCTTCTTATCGCTCATCTTCACTTTGAAGAGATAGTTGAGTCTAAATTTATGGTTCCTTTGCCGTTTGGGCTGCGCGTTGATCACAAATCAGTCAGTCAGGACAAATGGTTTTATATTAATAGAGATAACAACATTGATTCAAAATTCTATACGTTTTAGACAATAGAGTTTACAGCCAGTCCGTGCGTCTGTCTGTCCGTCTGTCCGAACCTTGTCCAAGCCTTGAGTTTGAGTTTTTTTTCGATGTTGCTGCTTCGGTTCAACGCATATACATAAATATGCAGTGACACGATTCTGATGTACATTTATTTGATTGAAATTGACATAAACACTTATGTATGTATGCATGTGTTGAATAGTTTATATTTAATTTAATTAATTAATTATATAAATTAAATTTGTTTAAATAATTTGTTTATTAGTTTTCCTTTCTCGTTTTTTTATTTTTTCTAGCTTCCTAAATGATACCGTTTTATTGGGTATTGGGTTGATCTCCCATCAGTCAATCAGTCATGACAAACGGTTATATATATATATATATATATGTATATAGATTATTTTTGGCACATATAGTATGTTTTTATGTACATACGTCATGCGGGAGCCCGAGTGGTAATAACGACGTGCTGAGTCATGGGAATTGCGTGAATCTGTTCAAAGGGAAGCACCCAACGGATCGTTGCTTTTAATAAACGCGACTATGTGAGCAACAATTTGTATTCACGCTTTTGTTGGTTTTGCTTTATATTATAATAATTATTATTAATGTGACCAGAAACCATATGTTTAGATGCTTAGGTAATATTTGACTTAACGATAAAAATAAAAGAAATATTTGTTTTTGAAGATAATGTTTTTACCAATTGTATTT